GGTGCGGTACATATGCTGCTTCTGCGGTTCCTGGCCCCTTCCTCATCTGCCACTTCTGCGGCTTCATTCCGCATCTGCGGGAGTCGCACCTGCGTCCTCTCAATCGCAGATGCGGTTATGACAGCAGTCATAGCTTCAGCTGCATCTCCAAACTCCAAATCCTTCCATCAACCATCCGAAATCATCTTGAGGTCCCCGGGACCTCAACCAAAAGCACAAACAAGTCCAATACCCCTGTCCAAACTTATACCAATCCTTAAAACACCTAAAACAACATCGAAACGACGAATCAACCACAAATTCAAGCCTAAGAACTCCAAAACTCTAAAAATACGCTTTTCGATCAACAAGTCTATCAACCCTCGTCCGAATGACCTGAAATTTTGCACACACGTCACATTCAACACTATGGAGCTACTCCAACTTTCGAAATTCCATTCCGACCCTCGGATCAAAATCTCACTATCGAACCGGAAACTTCAAAATTCAACTTTCGGCATTTCAAGCCTAAATTAGCTACGAATCTCCAAAACACAATCCAAACACGCCCTTAAACCCGAATCACCCAATGGTGCCAACAGAACCATCGAAATTCTATTCCAAAGCCGTCTTCACACTATTCCGACTACGGTCAAATTTCCAACACTTAAGCTCTCATTTAGGGACTAAGTGTCCCAAAACTCTCCGAAACTCAAAATCGAACATCCCGACAAATCAAAATAGCATAAATAAATACGGGTAAAGCAGTTAATAGGGGATCAGAGCATTAATTCTTAAGACAACCGACCGGGTCGTCACAATTGTTTGCCAAATAAAATATGAATGATAATAATAGTATAAAGAGATAACAAAATCAACCCAAAATGTAATTGTATGACTGTCCGTTTTTCATTTATCATCCACATGAGAAATACATTTTACTTTATCACGGCTCATTATACTTGTTAAAAAAATTCACAGCAACTGAAGTCATGACCTATTAATGCAAGGTCTGTGCAAATATGTGCTTGTTAAACTCTTCATCGAGGAAAAATTATAAAAAAAGAAGAAGAGTAGTTCAGACATAGGTGATGTGGCAAGGAAGCCAATTAAACAAAGACACATGGCTTTAAATCAGAAATAATAAATAAATAAATAAAAAGGAAAAAATGTTTTGAGCCCCCAAAAAACTTTCTTCTTTCTTAGAGAAATTTGTATGAGTCGAAATCTATCTTTAGAATACTTAAATCAAAATAGTATTGGTGGAACGTTCGCAACTGTCACTTGTCGAAGTAATCTAAGAAATGGTGAAGTACATGGTCGAAAAAACAGCAAGGGTTGAAGTCGAGGAGTCATCAAGGATTAAGGCCGAGGTCGGGCACCCTTGACAGAGTTACAACGGCTAGTTTCAAGATAGGACGTAAAAGAGAACATTCTAATGGATATTCTCTTCACTTGTACTATTAGGGTTTTAAGGAACATATTCCATGTAAATAGAAAGAGCGACAATGATAGGACATGTGATACTCATTTGTAAAATACACTTTGACTTTAAAAAAGAGAATCAGATCTCATTGCAAGGATACAAATACAACCTTTTCACTAATAACCTATTTGGCCAAGCTTTTTTTGGCCAAAAGTGCTTTTGGCCAAAAATTGAGGTGTTTGGCCAAGCTTTTGGATGAAAAAAGTGCTTTTGAGAAGAAGCAGAAGCAGTTTTGGAGAAACAGAAAAAAGTAGCTTCTCTCCAAAAGCACTTTTTTTAAAAGCACTTTTGAGAATAATACACTTAGAAGCAGTTTTTTTAAAACTTGGCCAAACACTAATTGTTGCTCAGAAGTGCTTTTCAAATTAATTAGCCAAACATAAACTGCTTCTCACCAAAAGTACTTTTGAGAAAAGCACTTTTGAAAAAAAATACTTCTCAAAATAAGCTGATTTTTGCAGCTTGGCCAAACAGGCTAGAAGATTCTTGTCTACACTTTTCTACTAGATCCGAGAATAACTCAAATATTCAAAGGCTTATCCATCACTCATCATTATTAGGAAGAACATTCATTGATTCCATCCTTTCTTGGGTGACTCATTCATTCTATTTATATAAGTGTCATTTATTGCTATTCATCACTATTTAATGCTACATACTATCTTTGACTTCTTAAATATTGATTGTGTGCCGCCGTTGTTATTGAAGTATATCTACGTATTATTTATTGCACTGATAGCTGCATCTTTGGGATATTACTGTTAACTAAGATTAATCCTCATTTATATAAATTTAATTAGTTGAACCAAGATCTATACTTTTTGGTCAAACAATTTGAGGCCGTCTTGGGGATTTCTTAGTTAAATTTTTAGTTTCCTCTAGATCTGCAGCTAACGCAAGTCACTAACCACACAAATCCCGAGATCTTATTTCTTTGTACGTACAAACACCTACATGGCAGGTAACTAAGGAGAAAGGATAAAAATAACAAGTGATTTCCCTAGCAACCTCATGAATGCTATCAACGAGAGATGTGAAACAATAGGCGAGGACGTGATGCCCAATGCTTCCCCTAGGAGCGAGAGGTCGCCTCCCTCCCACTGCAGCATGACAAAACCCAGGGGAAAAGGGGCCTCCACGTCCGCAAAAGAAGGGACACACCCAACGGTGAAAAACTCCTCGAAGCATGGTTACCGACTCACTAGTGAGCATCCTCAACAAACCCACTCCAGGCATGAATACAGAAACCGCAAGAGCATGCATGATTCAATAAACAAACGAGCAGTGCAACCGACCAAGCCCTCCTACGACATGTATAACTCACAATATTACTAACAGTGTAGGTGAAAGCACCCTCGCTGACGTTCTAAAGAGGATGGAAGAAATGGAGAATGAAAACAAAGCACTCTGAGACCAGATGAAAGAACACCAAGAACAAGTCGACAAGATATCGGGTGCTCCTAAGTTGTTGCCAAAAAGGGATACCGACAGGTTCATAGAGCAGCGGTATAGCGATAACGCATCCCCGCATGCTATACCAAAGAACTTCAAAATGCCGCCCTACCTCAAGATATACGACAGAATGACCGATCCTGAGGATCATGTGACCCATTACGTCATTGTCGTGAAAGGCAACGACCTCGCCAAGGAATATGTGACCTCTATTTTGCTGAAGAAGTTTGGTGAAACCTTTACGGGATGGGCTGACATGGTATTCACAACTACCAGCCCGCTCCATAGAAACTTTCGAGAAAATGGCCGATAAACTTGTAACTGCCCATGTCGGAGCCAAAAAAGCCGAAGCAAGAGTAAACGACATATTCACTATCAAGCAGTCCTTAGGAGAGGGACTAAGGGACTTTCTTGCCTGATTCAACAAAGTAAGGATGACTCTGCCGAACGTATCTGAAAGGGATGACGGTCGAAGTTTTCCAAAACGGGTTGAGTAGAGACGGTTCAAGAACGACTAGAAATTTGTTGATCTGATTGATGAAATATCCCCCAACCACTTGGGATGAAATCCACAATGCTTATTGCGCCGAGGTCCGAGTAGACGAAGACGACCTTCGGACCAACTCGCCAGCTAACATCAGTACAAACCGAATCCAGAAAGGAATGAAGAGACAATGTAAGGAGGGATCACCTGGTTCCGCGACCTAACAAGGAACATCACCAACCATATGTCAGGGCGGCCGCCGCACCTTCCCCCCGCTATGAAGAAGGCCCATCCAGGCCAAGGACAGGGACTTACCGGAACGAAAGAGGTATGCCCCATTTACTATTTGCTTACAATTTTTGTGTGTCATCTACAAAAATAGTCTACACTCTTGAGAAACTCAGAACAATGGTGAAGTGGCTGCCGAAGATGAGATCATACCCGAACACCAGAAAATTCGACGCCCTCTGTGAGTTCCACCGGGAACGTGGGCACAAAACAGAAGATTGCATCGCCCTCAGGCAAGAAGTCGTAAACATGTTGCATCAAGGACACCTCAAAGAGCTATTAAGCGACAAGGGGAGAACCAACTTCGCCAGAGGACGTGAACACTAAGGCCCGTCAAAGCCGCCATCACCAGCTCGTAATATCAACATGATCATCGGCGGGGGTGACGACGCCTCTATCAACGGCGTGAAGTTCGCCACCACCCATAAGCTCAAGTAGTCTATCAACCGCGAACGACACGACAAACTCGAAGAATGTATCATCTTCGATGAGTCGGATGCCGACGGTTTGACTTTCCCTTATAATGATGCCCTTGTCATTACTTTACGTATTTTGGATACAGATGTCAAACGTATCATTTTGAGGGTGTTGTTGCAAACAATTGGGAATATGGTTTGGGGTTTATATCTCAATTTTGAGGGTTTTGGTGAAGATTAGACTTGATTTTGGCTGAATTTCAGATTGAAACTCGAAGAAGAAGAAGAAGAAGAAGACGACATGATAGACATTATATTTACGAAATTGTAATAAAATTGTAGAAAAAATATAAATAAGTTGTATAATATATAATTAGTTGTATGAAATTTATTTTTACTATGTATAAATCAGATACAAAATATACAAAAGACATATTGTATAAAATTTATATTGAAATTGTATTTAACTAGTAAAAATAATATGTGAAAGTTGTAGATAAGTTGTAGATAAATACTACAATATATCTCCGTGCATTGGTAGCTTTATCTGATACTAATACCTTGCTACTTGGAAGGTGCTGCAGCTGATCTCTTCCTCATCTACCTTAAGCAAGTGGAACAATGGGGTTTCTGTTATAATTACTATTACCGCAAATTGACATATAAGTTTGAGCAGACTAAGTTTGAAATCAGAAGAGCTGAATACTCCTTTTTCAAAGTATCATTTCAACTTTTAGCCAACAACGATGGTACTGTTGTTCTCAATTTTGTTTTGGAATTCTTATATATAAGAAATACTTCAAATTCCATCTTTAGAAACCCAGTTTAGTAATTAATTCTCAAGTGACGTGCTCCACCTCTTTTTTTTTTTTTTTTTTTTTTTTTTTTTCTCTTTTTGTTTGTCTGCGTGTGTTTCTTGAAGTAAAGGTCAAATTAATTAGTCTTTGTCGCAATAAATGGTTAATTGGCAGTTGACAGGTTAGAAGTTAGAAGATGAAATGGATGCAAAGGAGGAAAGTGGCGATATCCCTACTACAACTTGCTATCCTCTTTCCTTCAACTTAAGTAGTCTTGATGGTCAAATGATTAAACTAGGTGAGAAGTGAGAACCATTTAATTTCTCTCATTTTTCTTCTCGTTCATTGATACCGTGATAGAGAATCTCAGTGATCTACTGAAACTTGATGATCCAAGTTCACCCCTTCATGTTGGGGGACTCGTGGATCAAGTTGAAAAGACTTTAAAGGAGTTGAAGTTCCTTAGAAGCTTTGTCTGCTTTGTTTCAGACAAATAAAGAAAGATGTAGAGAGAAAGGGGAGAGGGGAGAAAATTAAGGAATATGGTGTAACTAAATCTCTTGATTGAAGACACAAATAGTGGATTTGGGGGTGGATTCTATATATTTTGTAAATAAAACTTGTTTATGCATGGTAATTAACTAAACATGAACATTAAAAGTAATAGAGTTTCAAATAGTATATAAGAATGAAAAAAAATCCATTTTTAAAATTAGAGCCGTTGGGTCCATTCAGGATCGCTTAGAACTGCTTGAACCGGCCTACTTCCCGGCCGGTCCCAGTCTCGCAGGCCTCGTGCACGAGACCGCCCCACTACCCAGCTCACCTCACCCCGGTCCTGGTCTTATACAGTCTAGGACTATTTAGGCCCAGAGCTCATATGGGCTGCGATCCTGGGCTGGTCTCGGTCCTGAACCGGCCCACTTGCCAGGGTTACTCTTGTATTCCCAACCCCAACGCCGTACGCGGCTCAGATGCTGCGTTAATTACTTGCAGTAGTATCTTCTTTTCTTTATTACTCAACTATGTGCACAAGGATTCATGACACAGAAAGCAAGACAGTTTTCAACGTAGCATTCAGAAATCAAATTGACTCGTACATATTTAATTACTAAACAATTTCTCCTTATGACTAATAAAGAAAATTTCCGCGTTAAGACCATGTTCTCGTCGACTCATCCTTATTAGGGAATCCAAAGTCTTCAATTTTTGCAGCAGCCATTCTATATAAATTTAGGGTTTATAACCAAATCAATCTAAGACTCTGTTCTTCACTAAAAAAACTCCAATCAATGACCGCTCAAGAAACAAACTCTAATACTATCATTAAGGAGCTGCCAAATGCTCTGTTTTGGGATGTCATGGAAATCCGAAAATGGCAAGATTTTTGGTTCGAGCCTGGCCTAATTAAATGTGCAATGAAATTCAACTCCTCCTTCCAAGCTAAAGACGACGACGTTATTTTAGCATCAGCTCCCAAAACAGGTACCACTTGGCTCAAAGCTCTTTGTCTATGCATCTTGCACCAGAACATTAATATTCCCGAAAACGAAGATCTCTTAACCAAGGACAATCCTCAATTTCATGTTCAGACCATAGAGTCAACTATTTACTCTACAAAACCAACTCCTGATTTGTATGCTATGCCATCTCCAAGACTTTTTCACACCCATTTGCCTTTCAGTTTTCTTCCTGATTCTGTCAAGAATTCCAATGGCAAGATTGTATGCATAGCACGGAACCCAAAAGACACACTGGTATCTTTATGGCATTTTTTCAACTCCATTTTCAGGCCAAATCAAGAACCCTATCCACTGGAAAAGGCAGTTGAGGAATTCTGCACAGGGGTTCATCAATACGGCCCGTATTTCGAAAATGTGTTGGGATATTGGTTGGAAAGTCAGAAGAGGCCAGAGAAGATATTGTTCCTGAAATATGAAGAGATGTTAAAGGATCCTAAAGATCAAGTGAAGAAACTGGCTTTGTTTCTTGGGAAGCCATTTGAGAAGGAAGAAGATGTGGAGAAAGTTGTGTGGAGGTGTAGTTTGGAGAGGTTGAGGAATTTGGAAGTAAACAAAAATGGTAGTGTAATTTATGGAGTACCAAACAGTAGCTATTTCAGGAAAGGAATGGTTGGGGATTGGAACAATTACTTGACTCCTGAAATGGAAGATCGGATTAACAAAACTACATTCCTCAAGTTTCAGGGATCTGGACTAGAGTTCGAGAATTGAAATTTGAAATTCTTGTTTGGTTTTTTTTCTTCATTCCTTTTTAAGAAGCAGAAAAAATTTATAGCCCCTGTTATTGGAGTCATATACTCCTGTAAGTTGTATTTGGATTTTCCAATCTTGTAACTCACTATATTTATCCATTTTGTATTGTTTTCCTTCTCCTATCCTTTATTTGTTTATTCAAACCTTGATAATGTGTGCATTTCTGTTTAACTTCTATACAGTAACAATAAGATTTTTTTCCAGTCACAAACGAAGTAAATATGTGTATGCGTCCATTATAAGTTAAACTTTATGATGGAAGTTAACCTACTATTTGAAAAGCTGTTTTTAAGCCGCAAAAGCATAGTTTTGAACAAACCTATTTACTGTCACGGGCTCACGGCCCAATTATATCTGCACTTTTGGGCCTACAGAGTCTTAGGGTTAAAATAGCACGGTCTAGCTAGTTTTCGGACTGGTCATTCAAAAATAGTCGGCGTTTGCTAAGTCATTGAAAAATAACCACTATTTTGCTGCAACAGAGACCGGTCCAACATAATATACTGGGGTTCGATGCACCTGTGTATGAACTTCTAGCATATTATGCTGGACCGGTATACTTTGTTGGCTCCAGTATAATATACTGGAGACTGGAACACCGGTGCTCCAAACTCCAGTATATTATGTTGGACCGGTATATTATACTGGAATTCCAGTATATTAGACATAACTGGAACTCCAGTATATTATGCTGGAGTATTTTTCCGGATTTTGAACAGTATTTTCGTTCAGATTTGTCTCTACATGAAAAGTGGCTAAATTTCGATTACTTTTGAAACCGTGACTATTTTTGAATGACCACTTGTAAATTTGGCTATTTATAATATACTCGGAGTATCAATTTTCGAAATTAAGCTCAGTAACAGCAAGTATAATGCATATAGGTTGCACCTTGCAACATTGTAAGCAAAATCGGAAACGTTCATGTTATGGCAAATGGGGAAATCTTTTTGGATGTCCCTAAGAGTTTATTTGGACCCAACAATCAACATTAAAGAAAATTAAAACCAAACAGAAACTTAGGGTTGAACGTCATTTGATCGTATTAATTAGTAGACTGAACAAAGAGGAAAGCTAAGATAGACCGAATCTATATCTATATTTATGTCTATATATATATATTAAAGCAAGAAAGTTTGCATTGTGGTTAAGCCAAGTGACAAGCTACTATAAAGCAACTTGGCAATCTTAAAGAGTTTGTGGGAGATTGTCAAATAAGAAAATATCATTTATTGAAATTAAATTGAAATAAGAATTCTTTTTAAAAAAAATAAAGTTCAATCATTGTACTTATATTTTCGAACAGAAATTTTTTATTTGGAAAGTAAAGAATTTTGATATCAATAGTATTTGGATTCCTTTTCTAGTATCAAGTGAGAAGAATATATCCTACCATAATCTAATGTGCAATTTTAATTTATTTTAAAAATTCAATACTTTTTAATGAGTTGAAGAATATATTTAAGGTTTTAACTTAAAGTTCAAATGTAGATATATTTAATAATTTATTTATTTCATAATGGTAATCCAAAGTATCTGTTTAGACTAAGTTTTCTGAATTTTAAACAAGTGTACAATAAAAATAATTTTTTTAAAGGCTAAAAGCTTCAACAAAAGTAATAATTACTAGAAGTTTAATAATAAAAATACCATAATATTTTGGTGAAGTACTATATAGTTTGATCATATGCACTTTTATTTTTGTCTATTATTGAATAAAATACTAAAAGAAAAATTAAATAAAATATCATACTTACTAGGGGAAATAATTTAGAAAGAGGGGGATAAAGATAGTGTGGGAGTATTTATACTTTGATTAATTAAAATGATAAAATAAAGCAAATAAATAATTAATACTCAAAAATATTATTGATAAATTCAAATATTATATAGCGAAAGATTAAAAATAAATAAAAAAATTATTTTAAGAGAAAGAAAAACCATATTCATTATAGTATATTATAATAGAAGTCGCAGATAAGGATATAAAGTAGGTGACAAGCTAATAAAAAGTTAAGTAATAATGTAGCCATATTAAGTACGGGTAACACAGTAACAATAGACAAAGAACAAAAAATATAGATTTTTTTTTGTAAACAAATAATATAATTGTAGATATATAGAAGGATTAGACATTTAAATTTGATATAAGAAAACTTTTTGAATTATTACGAGAAAAAACATATTATATGGATAATATCACGCAATTGAAAACATAATTTATAAACCTAAAATTTAAAACATTTATAATGAAATAATGACAAGAAACAAATTAACAATATAAAGTTGTAATTAAAATTATTGTGTAGTTAAGTTATAAAAAATTAAAGTCAAAACTCTTTACGAAAATAAAAGGAAAAAAATTAATTGCTTATTGCACATAATACTAAATAATAATTACTAAAAGTGTAGATTTATGAAAAATAATAAAAGAACTTCTTCGTTTAAACTTTGGCATATTTTCAAAAGAATTAGAAAAATAATATGATAATGTTTATATTATAGATACAACACGAAATGTGAAAAATAATTAAAATATTATATGATAGAAAATAATGTATATAGAGGACAATAGAAGTAATGTGAAGGGGTCTACACTTTAAATTTATTTAATAAAACAGTTAAATAGGAAAAATAATATTATTGATAAATTTAAACAAAACAATTGGAGCTATGGAACAAAAGAACAAAGTTAAATTAAATTTTAGGGTAATACAAAACTATATTCATTGCATTATACTAAAAGTAGAGCAATGAGTAAGGACATTAAGTAACACGATAAGCTAATAAAAAATCACATGGCAATATAGGAAGTGTGCATTATGGTTAAGCCAAGTGGCAAGCTAAGATAAAGCCACTTGACAAATTATGAGAATATTTGTTATAGTATTTAATTTAAATTGAAAGACAGGATATTTATTTAAATTTAAATAGAAAGAGTAAATAAGATTCTTTTGAATCTGAATGGAAAGAAAGTTAAATTTGAATTAATTGATTAATTAGGAAAGCATATCAACACATAAATGTTCCAATTCAAACGGGAGGCTCAACGAGTGAGGCGAATTGTTTTAAATAATGAGAAAGAGTTTTTGAAATTTGAGAACAAAACAACAGAAAAAACAAAAAAAAATGTTTGTTACTAGAAATAAGATTAAAAATCTAGGTTCGAACCCATAATCATAATTACCGAGTTATTGGATCAAAACTTAACTTTCTTAATTACCTTAGGGATAATGTTTAATTATGAATCAACTCAGACATTGGCTAAACAAATGTCGATTTGTGTTGCCTTACGATAAAATTAATTATCCAATATTTTATAATTTATTTTATATCTCAATTGTTTGGAAGCAATACATACATTTTTTTTTATTTTTCTATTAGTGCTAGCAGTTGCTATGCTAAAATATATAAGAAGGAGAATAGATTCTTCTGTAATGGCTCAGGTATGGACAATGATTTTTTAGCGCGTTGTTGATATTTATGTTCTCTCAAATTGTGTGTGTGGGTGCGTGTGTGTGTATCAATTAGAATGAAATATATTTGAATAGGGTAAACACATAGATGAATATAATTGCACTATTTGGATTGCTATTTACACAAAATAAAGTGAATCATAAAATCATAAGGTAAGATTCATTTAATGAAGAATTACATGTAAGAACTCATCTTCTTTTAGTACATGTGCATCATAGAAGAAAAATATTTAAAGTAGGTTAACATTTATTTAATTATAATATATTAATATTAACTATATCCCAAAAGGTATCACTTAAATTGTTAAAAACAATGTGATTTTAATTGTGTGGTTAAAATTGAGGTAATTAGCAAAATTATTGAGCAAATTACGATCCAACTGTTTTATAAATTTGTAACTCCCAAAAGTTAGAATATATTGGTTGTTAATAAATTATCATGTATGTATATATTAATTTGTCACTGTGTAATTTTAGGTTGGTAGAAGTTAATGTTGATGTGGGAATTTGTTATGTTGAGATAATAATAAAATATATTTTTATAATTTAAATTAAGATATTACTAAATGTATTTTTATTTGTTTGTATCACCGGCTATACATGAGGTTATAATATTTAAGTTTATGCCAATAGTTATTCATATAATCTGTTCTCTTAAATTTATAGTATTTAGCAGGATCATAATATTATCCGCACATCGTGCGGGTACTAATACTAGTATTTAAGAAAAGCAATGAAAAGAAAAGAAAAAGGAGTCAGCTTCTCTTACCTCTGATTTGGGTTAATTTGCCAAGGTTTTTTTGGGTCAAATTAAAATTTTGTATTTAATCAATGAAAATATTTACATCCGCTAGCCCATGGGACTCTAGAGCTAGATCTTTTGCAGTCTTTCTATTCTCTAACTACAGTTATGTACCTTTCCTAATCTCTTCCTGATTTACACATTGTTTTCGTTAGGATATCTATCTAACTGTTCTAACATTGACTTCCATTTACTCCTATTTTGGCCTTTGATATGCAGCTGCAAGGCTATTTCTCGAACTTTTTCTGCATATGTAATACATTGGTTCTGAAATCTTCTTTTGTTCCTCTCCATCCATGTGTAATAAACTGTTGCTGCAAATAGAAATGTGAGAACTTGAGCTCGTGGTCTGCTGCTGTTTGTCCTCTTGATCAGCCATTTTAATTCCTGTTCCCAGCTTCCAACATTGTATTTTTCTTTCAACCAACCTACTAATGCAGCCCATATTGATCTAGCATAAGCACATTCAAAGAAAATGTGACCTATCGTCTCTTCTTTCTGGCTAGTGCATAACACACATTCCTTCGGCACATCAATCTTCCATTTTGCCAATCTATTCACTGTTGCTAACCTTTGGTTGAGAGTTAGCCACAGAATAAATCGATGCCTTGGTATAGTAACATCTCTCAGTACAAGATTCTTCCATGTAACTTTCTGAAATTGAGGCCTTGCTGCTATATACATTGTCTTGATGCTAAACTTCCCTTGCTTGCAAAATTCATTGATATCTCCTGTTTCACTTATAGCCTTAAACCATTCTTTTGTATCAAACACTTTCCTGATGATCCGGCTTGCTTTGGTGTTGACATTGTGCTGAAGTTCCTTCTCTTAATATAAAAATTATGAATCTATTTTACCCAAAGTATGTCCCTTTTTGTACTGATGGCCCATAGTATCTTGCATAAGGCAACCTTGTTCCATGAGTAGAAGTCTAGGATCCCTAAACCTCCAGCTGAACCTGGCATATAGAGTTTCTCCCATGAAACTAAGGATCTTTTTGACATCTCAGTACTACCTGTCCAAAGGAATGTCCGACAAGCAGCAGTAACCATGTGAATTATCTTCTTTGGTAGTAGAAATACATGTGCCCAATATGTGTGCATTTCGAATTGGACACTTTTGATCAATTGAAACCTGCCACTATATGATAGAAACTTGGTGGTCCAGCACTTGATTCTTGCTATGATTCTTTCTACCATTGGCATGCATTGAACTATTGATAACTTCTTTGTTGACAGTGGCACTCCCAAATACTTGAATGGGAATTCTCCTAATGTAAAGTGCATTTCAGAGAGAATCAAGTTCTTGAACTCCTCAGTTACTCCTGCAACATAGAAAGAACTTTTTTCCATATTACCCAGTAGCCCAGTTACTTCAGAGAAGTGATGAAATGCCTTTAGCATTAACTGTATTGATACTTCATCAGCTCTGCAATACATAATCAAGTCATCTGCAAAATAAATATGTGTTATTTTGAGTTTGGCACACTTTGGATGGTAGTTAAAATCTGGAATCTAATCAAGAGTCTTCAAGTTTCTATTGAGGTATTCCATAACCAATACAAACAAATAGAGGGACATGGGATCCCCTTGTCTCAATCCCTTTCTTGCTTGGAATTTAGTTGTCAAACCCCCATTAAGAAGCAAGGAATAACTCACAGTCGTAACACATTCCATTATCAATTCTACTATCTTCACTGGCATACCATATTCTAACAGAATCATTCTTATGAACGACCATTCTACTGAGTCATATGCCTTCCTTATATATATCTTGATTAAACATATGGGGAATACACCTTTTTGTGTGTAACCTTTGACTAATTCATGTGCCAGTATTACATTATCCAATATGTTCCTCCCTTCAATAAATGCAGACTGTGCAGGTCCAACCACATAATCTACCACTGTTTTCAGCTTCTCTGTTAGGATTTTAGCTATCTTCTTGTACAAGGTAGTGCAACATGTAATTGGTCTGTACTCTTTTACAAAAGTAGGACTTGCTACTTTAAGCACCAAAGTAACAATTGTGCAGTTTATACTCCTTAATAGTTTTTCACTTGCAAAGAATTCCAGGACTGCCTCTGTAATCTCTGTACCAATATCCTCCTAATAGCACTTAAAAAATTTCAGCTGGGTAGCTATTAATGCCTGGGGCTTTATCATTTGGTAGTTCTTTAACTACCTGAGCTATATCTTCCCTTGTAATCTGTTCTAGCATCCCCAGTTGTTTCTTTAGTTAAGCAAGGACCAAGCTTAACAATATTGATATCTAGAGAAGATAATTCATCTGCACAGGTTCCCAATAACTTTTGAAAAAATTGAACAAATTCCTTTTCCACCAGCTTTGGTTCAGTCAACCTAATACCTTGTTCATTGCATATAGACCCTATTCTGTTTCTAGCTTGCCTTGCTTTTACTTGAGCATGAAAGAAATTTGAATTTGAATCCCCAGCTTGGATCCAAGTGGGCTCATGAATACCTTCCCATTTTTCTATCTGTTGTAGCAAATCTCTTTCCTTGGTGATTAACTGACCATTGAATAAGTCAGTACTCATCTGCTTCTGTGTATCTTCCAGTTCAACTCTAATAAGATTCATTTTCCTATCCAAGGATGATAATTCTCTGTTAATGATTCTGCTCAATCATCTTCAACTTTCTCCATACCGAGTACATGACATACCCCTCTATATTATGTCCCCATACCTATTGTACCACTTCTTTGAATTCTCCATGTTGTAGGATAACATTGAATAATCTAAATGGCTTGGGCAGCCTCTGCTTGGTTTTGTCAGTGCTAAGAATAATTGGTGAGTGGTCTGATACTCCAGGGCAATCATAGAAAGCTTCAATCTCACTATAAAGCATGAACCATTGAGGATTCCCAAACACCCAATCAATGTTATTGTAGATCCTATCTGTTTCATCTCGTTTATTGCACCATGACCATTGCCAACGCTTCTTGTTCAGCTATCCCAAACCCAAATAAGTTATACAGTTTTGAAAGTCATGTACTTCTGTTTGGTTTACAAGATTTCCATTCATTCTATCATTGACTGATAGAATTGTGTTGAAATCTCCATCACCAACCATGGATCTTTTATGTTATTATGAAGACTTCTCAACTGGTTCCACATTTCTTTCCTCTCTGCAATTGTATTGTAGCTATAGAAAAAAGTCAATTCACAAGAGAAATCCGAACCTCTATCTTTTACTATACAATGGACCATCCAGTAACTTGCCATAACCACCTGAACTTCAACTAGATGATCTTTCCACAGTACCCAAATTCTCCCTTTAGGAGCTACAGTATAATTGGCATAAATTGTCCATTCTCCTTCAAATTTCTTTTTCACTTTAGCTACTTTTTTATCTTTCACTTTTGTCTCCAGGCACCCTATTATGGACACTTTATTCTTAAGCAGAAGGCCCTGAGTTCCTTCTGCTTAAAATGACTTATTTAGCCCTCTGATGTTCCATGAACAAACTATCATGGGGGAAGCTTATCAGAGGTTCTAGTGCCCCTTTCCAAACTTTTGGTAATCTCTTTTGGGTGAATTCGGAACGAGCTGAATCTGTTTTTGCTTAGTAGCCTCTCTACTTCTTCATCAGTCATGACACCTTCCTTCAATTCATCTCCTTGAGCCACCATTCTCATCTTCCCTTTCACTATTCTGCCATGATCATCATTTTTCATATTGTTCTCAACCTACTTAAGGACTTCTTCCTTCTGTTGTTCCTGTTCTGGTGGTTGAGTCTTATTCTCTTTCATTTTCCATTGGGCTGTTTGCTGTTTTTTCTGTCTTTGTCTTCTTCTTCTCCGGTTCTGCTCTTCACCCTTCTCATGTTTAAATTCATTCTTTTGTTCCTTGTTGCAATTTCCAACAATATGTCCTATTTGTAGACAATCCTGACAATAGGAGGGCTTCCATTCATATTCTAGCTTCTACTCTTTGAATCCTCCTTTCTCATCCTCAATCAGTATATGCTCAGGGAGAGACTGAGAGATGTCTATGTCCACCAGAACTCTAGCATATGAGATTTTATTTCCTTGTGTTGTCAATTTATCAGTGCATATTGGTTTTCCTAGGTAGCTCGCAATTCTGCCAAATTCTCAGTTGCCCAATATTGAATCGGCAGCCCAGGTAGGATTACCCAAGTAGGAACAATTCGATTGGTTTCTTTGCTAATATCAAACTCCGCCTCCCATTGTTTTAGGATCATAGGTCGATTATTGAAAGTGTAAGGCTCATACTCTAACACCTTCATCTTATCTTCATCATTCAGGAAAAGGAATATAAAGTATCCATCATTATGCAGGTATACCTTTGGTGTGTCCACGAATTGCCAAACTCCATAGACGAATTTCAGCATATCCTTAAATGTCGGCGACCCACCTAATATAATCAAGCTTGATTTCCACTTTCTAGTTTCCTCTTCTACTTCAGTTTAATTGAGGCAGACCACTTTTATCCCTTCTTTCATAACCGATGGGTAACATTCAAGTTTCGACCCCTGATGTATGGATCGATTCCCTCGTACCACATCTGCTAGGGTAATCTTTGCTTCATGCGACTCGACTGATAAAATAAGCTTTCGTGTTGCCAAATTCGCATCCGCTTCCACTGGTTTTTGAGCTTCTTTCACCTTCACTGGTTCCTCTTTCGTCGGAGCTTGCAAAATTGTGGGAGCGCTCCCCATACCTTGCATCCAGTGAACCAATTGAGGTGGTTCTAGTGTTTGGGGAACTCCGGATTCAGATGTAACCATCCGATTTTCCGAGCTCACCATCATATCTGCTTCCAGAGCTATTTCATTGCGTCATTTTCGGCGGGTCACCGAAGAAGGCGTACGTTAGCTATTCCTTGCGTAACGTGTGCCTCAAGAGAAAACCCTCCCAATCAATCACTTACTTGAAGTACATGGTTTCTTTATTAATTAATTTGCCAAGGTTGCGTCTCACTGATTTCATACCTCACAAGATTGAACAGAAGAATGTAACACCCGAAAAGGAAAAAAAGACAGAGAAGTTCTCTCTGTCTCTAATTTGGGTTGAGAATTATTTCATCACTGATTTCATAACTAATCCGACATATTAGTTATGATTCAATCGAATTCATAACTTTTATCCTAGACCTAGATTTTCAGTATAAAATTCATTGAAATTGCTGAAAAAATTGAGCTATGACCCCACAACTGAAACAAGGTGATGAGTTCAGTTATTGAAGTCGTGAACCCATAGAATTAAAATCCTGAATCCGTATATGATATGATAGTAGTAGTATTCCTTCCAAGAAAAGTGACACTCTACTACTCATTTCGTACTATTTTGTTTTAAAATAATATTACATCATTTAACTGAAGAAAAACTATAACTTTAATTTTTCTTAATGAAAATATTATGACATGTTTAATAGTAACATATAAAATCATAATTTTTAGCATTTTTGTTTCTTTCTTGAATTTCATATCCAGTTAAAAAAAATTCACTTCTTTAGCTTGTTTGGCCATGAAATTTTTCACTTTTTTTCGATTTTTTTACTTTTTTTTCCGAAATCAGTGTTTGACTATAAATTTTCAATCACTTCAATTTTAAAAAACAATCCAAAATTATATTCACGTCCAAACACAACTCTAATTTTCAAATAGCATTTTCACTTGAAAAAAAAATTCACTTTTTTTTCTCTCGAAATTTTACAATTCTTATGTCCAAACACCCACTATATAAATAAAAACGAAGAGAGTAACATCGTCCTTTCACGATGGTTATTGTGACAATAAGATCTCACTAAGGCATGGCAAATACTACTCCATCTCTTGCATGGTTTCCCCTGAACATGTGCCAGCAATCAGGATAGGAAGGTTGATAGGGTCAATTAACCAATTTAACACTAGATGACTATACCCTCATTTTAAAGAAAGCGTAATTTTGATCCTAGATCACATTAGGTCATATAAATCGGAGAATATTGGAACTAAGAGAAATGCTAAACCCCGTCCGTTCAAAATTTTTTAAACTAGAAGCGCATGCCAATGCTAATTTGCTAATATTTCTTTTTTTCTTTTTCAAAACAAAGTTACATCAGAGAAACATCCCAAACTCCTATGAGAATCCAATGCTTATACATTAACGTACTCCTCCCATTCCCATTTATGTGAACCTGTTTGACTGAGCACAAAGTTTAAGAGAAAATAAAGACTTTTGAAATTTGTGGTCCTAAACAAGTTAAAAAGGGAGCTTAGAGTATTTGTGTGGTTATAAAAGTTTCTCATCAAGGGTAGAATTATAAGTTTAAGCTAAATTGTTTCCAAATTTAGAAAATGATCATTCTTTTTGAAATGGACAAAAAGGAAATAGATTCACATAAACTGGAATGGAGAGAGTAATTTATAATGAGAATTTTAAATAAATAACTAGCAATTTACTCTTTAATTTTTCTAGCTTATATACATAAATTGTATATATCAGCGGTTGCAGAGTTTAAGTTAATTGTTCTTTATTTATACAGTATTGCAGAAATCAGGCGTACGCAACATCCAATTGCTACTCACGTTCACAATTTACGTAGACAGAAAATGGAATCGAGGAGGAGGCAAAAAAGCTTATACGACAAACAACATCAGCTCTATTTATTTCTCAATTTGATCGCAAAACTTTAACTAGAGATTACTAAAATAAAGTTGAAATTGTATGAAGTAGCAGAAGTAGTAGATGGACGAGAGAGAATGAGAGAAAAGATAGAAATGAGGAGGAAGAATATAACATCAGATGTGTTATTCTCATTAATTAAAAAATTGAATATTACAAGTGTATATTTATATAAGCTCCACATGGCTAACTAACTTAACCACCTTCTTCATTCCTATTGGTGGAGTCTAATAAGGGAAAATACCAAATGCCCTTATGTAACCCCTTTCTTCAACACTCCCCCTCAAGCTAGGAACTGTAAAAATGTTTAAAGTTCCCAGCTTGGAATTGAGATATTCATGCTGAATCCTATTTAGTCCTTTAGTTAGAATATCAGCAGGTTGATCTCTAGTAGGAATATACTTTGTTGTAATCAATCCTTGTACGATTTTTTCTCTAATAAAATGACAGTCAATTTCAATGTATTTGGTACGTTCATGATAAACTGGATTTGCTGCAATTTGCATAGCTGCTTTGCTATCACTGTACACACTAACAAGTTGTTTGACATTGATTCCCAGTTCTGTTAGCAGACCAACTAGCCAGATCAATTCTGCTACTGTTGAGGCAAGGCTCCTATATTCAGCTTTTGCTGAACTTCTGGAAATAATTGTTTGTTTCTTTGATTTCCAAGAGACTATAGATTCACCAAGCTTAATTAAATAACCAGATACAGACTTTCTAGAATGGGGACAGGCTGCCCAGTCTGCATCACAGTAGGTTGTAATTTCAGTATTGTTCTTACTAGATAATAGAATTCCTTGTCCTGGTTGTTGTTTTAGATACCTCACAATTCTGAGTGCTGCTTCCATATGAGATCTTTTTGGTTTTTGTAAGAATTTACTCAATGTTTGAACACTGAATGCAATGTCTGGTCGAGTCATTGTTAGATATATCAATTTACCAATTAGC